AATACGTCTTGCCACCATACGAATACCTCTATGCTTCGCATCATTCCTCTCAGTCCATAGAAACCAAAATACCAGTAGAGGAATGATAATACGAATGTGTCCACGACAAACGTGCTGTCCAGAATATCGCCATCTCTGGAACCTCTGTCTGACCCCTTCTCCTGAAGTCATAGGTATCTGAAAGATGTCTCCAAAGTGCTGCCATACCTGGTCGGAGATGCTGCTGCTCGTGAAAATATGATTGATGGTCTCAATCTCGGAACAACACTGACAACGAGAAGCCAACTGACATCCAATTCTCCTCTGAATAACAACATCTACTGGTATGAGATCCTGCCATAGTCTCCAGCAGAAGAATGAAATAGTGGTAGGCAAGATAGAGCTCCACAGCAGTCGATATGAGTCCTGAGGCTGGTGAACCGAACGGACTAGTTGCCATGCTGATTTGGTGGTAAATTCACCATCCGAAGTAATTTTCCAAACAATTCGGTCCGGGGCATCTGCACATAAAGATATCGCCCCTATCTGTCCCGCCATGTGAGAAGGAAGGGCCTGTAATAACCGTCCGAAATCCCACCCAGTGTCATCAAAAAAATCCTGTACCCTCGCAGATGTGTGCTGTCTGTGGGGGAATAGGGATGCCAACGTGGTCTCGCCCATCCAACAATCATGCCAGAAGAAAATCTGACCGGCTCCAAGGTGCCAAGCAATGTGTGGATCCGTCCGTGGCCTAACTGATTTCAGCCTCTTCCAGGTAGGGGAAGCTGAACTGGGAACTGCTGCAAGTGAAGGATGCGTCCCCTTACAATACTTGCCAAGTAAAAACTGAGCCCAAAGTGACCTCTGAGATCGGAACAACCACCAGAGCTTCATGGAGAAGGTGTCCACCACATCCTGTAATCTCCTAAAGCCGAGGCCTCCCTCATCAGTAGGAAGGCAAATCTTCTTCCAACTCCTCCAATGTAGACGTCGTGCTTGATCCTTAGAGTCCCATAGGAATCGGGCAAAGATGCTCTCAAGTTTCTTCAGCACTGTCTTGGGCGGCTGCATAATCTGAAGAAGATGTAAAGGTATGGAAGAAAGTACTGACCTCAGTAATGTAATACGACCCCCAGGCGATAGTAATCGTGAGGCCCAGCCTGATATCCTATCCCTTATCTTTTGGATAAGGTCATCATAAAAGAAGCTCCTCTTAGTCCCCTTGAATAAGGGGACACCCAAATAAGTGAAAGGCTGCTGCTGATGTCTGAAGCCCGTCAAAATCTCTAGTCGTCTGATCTGACTAGTGGATGCCCGTCTGGATAGTATAATACCGCTCTTGTCTCTATTCACCAGTTGGCCAGAAACTCCTTCATAATGCTCCAAACAGTCTAAGACCTTCCTGATAGACTGTTTCTGACCGTTGGCAAAGATGATCATATCGTCAGCAAATGAGAGATGTTAGACAAGAGCACTACCTCCATGTCGATAACACATACCGGGATACTCTTGAAACCTCTGAGTGAGCAAACGTGAGAAGTAGTCAGCTGCAATGATGAACAAGGATGGGGAGATAGGATCACCCTGTCTGAGTCCTCGTGAGGAGGGAAAAAAGCCACATGGGCGGCCATTTAGGAGTACGGAGAAACGACACTGCGAAATGCAACGCCTGATTCTGTCAATCCAGATCTGATCAAATCCAAATGCCTCCAGTTTCCCTCTCAATCCAAACTCTGTCAGGGAGATCGTAGTCCAAATTAACCTCCACACATACTCTAGCCTCACTAGGGCGGCGAAGATCAGATGTTGCCTCATCAATACGTAACGGAAGGCCAATAGCTTTAGCAATAGCATACAAACTGCTCTTAGCCCGAAAGTGAATAGGTAGAAGTGGAAAGGATACCCAGACTGGAGCAATTGGGGTCTCTTGCAGTGGACTAAAGCTTGGAGTCCATTTGAAGACTCTCATAGGGGAACCATCAATATACCACAGTGGTTTGAGGAATAACCGTGCATAGTCATCCTCGTGCACCAAGTGAATCAAAATGTGTGTGGCATCAATTAGACCAATAGTATAATCACCACAAAAACCAAAGCGAGAAAAGTTTTCATGTACCTTAAGCATAGATGGCCTCCGGTGCACAAATTTGCCAACAAGAGTAAACTTGTATGGCTCAGCCAAGACTTCTTCATCTGCCTCTGTGAATAGAACTGCAGGTTCACCATGATGGATGAAAGGGTCCCTAGAAATGAGCTTGTGGTCAGTAGATTCTTGTGATGCTCGAAGAATTTGAGCAAAGGACTTCTTTTGACTCCTCTCTGCTTGAGAAACTACTGGCACATTACCAACTGCTGCAGCATAAGATTTTGGACCAGAATGAGCAGTTGTGGAAGTTGCAGTAGCTCGTGGTGTTGCATGTGGTGGTGGGGGTTGCTCACGTGCAGGAGGGACTCGCGCGTTGATGGTACGCGCAGTTTGGGATGTACTAGGCGGTAAAGTGTTGATCCTTGGGGTTTTTCCATGATTTGGAGCCAGTGGTGCAGTTCCCGGGATCAAAGGAGGTCCAAAAACATTAGAAGGATTTGCCTCGGTATGTGTGCCACTTGGCACGTTTCCCAATGCAGATTTCCCGTCAGTTTCAGCTGGAGTAATGGTCTCTCCAAAGGTTTTCATATGCTCTGAAGATGATGGAAGTGTCAAAAATATAGAATTCTGGCCAGAAACAGCAGTACCAATTGCCTCGATTTGTGTGCATTTTGGCACGAAATCTAATGTAATATTTTCGATCGAATTGATAGGCCCTTCTGATGTTTGTGGATCTTTTGAGTTCATCGGAGGTGTCAATTTTCTCAAATAATGCTCAGAAATGGAAGAAATCTGACCAGCAGCGCTAGAGGTGTGAAGAACACCATTTGATTCCAAAATTCGGCAAATTAATGATGTAATCTCAGCAATTGGAACATTACCCAGAGTATCTGGGGCTTGAATTTCATTAACCCCACGTTTAATTGCAGAATCGAACACATTTGTGGGGTCAATTAAGAGAGAATCGGACTTTTGACCTTGAGGGATTGGATCCGTTCGATTCGCGAGATTGGGATGAAATTGATGAAGACCCATATGATATGGATGTTGCCCATGATGAGAGGAGTCGGTATGGGGTGGTCCGCCACTGTGGGTCCCACTGGTGGCGCCGGAAAAATGAAAGGGAGGCAGCGATTCGGCAGGCAGCGCAGGCGGACCTTCCAGGTGCAATTTCGGTCGATTGGGAGCTCCAAATGGTGAGTGGCGACCATGGTTGTGATTGTCTGGAGAAGGGCTACCGACCGGCAGTGGTTCGCGACCGTGGGTCCCACCGGAGGCCCCGAAAAATTGAAAATCGACAGGCAGCGCAGGCGGGACTTTCAGATGCAATTTCGATCGATCGAAGGCTCCATATGGTGAACGGCGACCATGGTTGTGATCGTCTGGAAGAGGGCTATCGACCGGCAGTGGTGCGCCGGCGTGGGTATCACCGGAACAGTGTTTTCCGACAGAAAAAGCTTGCGGCAGATCCGGTTTTTGGCCCCTATTTTCATCAGATTTCGGCCAGTTTATTGCCGGCGGTTGGGTGTAGGTTATAGAGGGAAGTGAGGGGGATCTATTGGTGGTCGGATCCGGTGGCCTTGGCGGCCGGAATGTAGCCGGATGTGATTCCATTTTGGGTGGCTAGAAATCTCCAAAAATCTCCTATCTCTAGAGAGAAAATGGAAGGGTTGGTTATGGTTTAGGGTTTAGGGTTTTAGGGTTTAGGGTTTAGGGTTTAGGGTTTTTTTTTTTTTTAAAAGCAAATACCACTAGTGTGGTTTATTTTATAAAATGAAAAGCGGGACAACAAATAGAGGAGGGGGGCATGGACCTGACCTCCAGCAAATGTAAATTGTAACAAATATTTGAAGATGAAATGCAATCACACTAAACAAGACACGAACCAAAACAAATGAAAGGTACTCAAGGGTATTCCCGAGGGTAAATCTTCGGGTGGTAGTTCATAGACATTGATCGAGTCATGCGTCTGGTTTGAAACATTTCCGGATCATAGTAGTCTGCGATGTCTGGCTCACTCTTTGGAGAGGGGTCTCGCCTGCATGTAGGAGCCTGCTTTGGTGGTAAGAACTGTTCAGATGGTGGTGCACTGAATGTCGGGCGAAAAGCGGGTGCATCTGATCTCATTGTACTAGTCGTAGGTGCGTCTAATCTCATGGTGTTCTGTGCTACGACATCTGAATCATGGGAGATTGACCTGCTTGCTGTAGGGACATCGTCCTCTGCATTTTGCATGCAGTTTCCAAGGCCCATGCCATCCATGTCTCTCTGTATATGTTCTTTCACCTTATTGTGTGTAGGAGCTGTGATAGAAGGACTAGGTGAAGATGTATGCGTAGGAGTCTTACTCACAGAAGGTCCCTCTCCAAAGAGCTTAAAAACCAAGTCCTCAATAGCAAATCTCATGGTAGATCCAACTTTCATTCCATGGTCCTTCTTAAAGTGATCAATCAACATATGCTTGACACCATGTCGCTCTGAGCTGATCTCAGCCAACAACCCCTGTGCAAGAGTGGTTTGAGGAGCTGTCCCGGTACCTGATCCCTGCGCTGACTGAGTACTATCTGTGTGTGTCTTTAATGGTGGAGAACTCATATGTGTTGGCTCAGGGGGTACATCAGTAGTAGCTGTGGGAATAGGAGCTATGGAAGTAATAATAGGAGAAGTGGGTACCTCGATAGGAGCATTTGGAGTAGGCTCAGCAACTGAATGAATATACGGAGGTACCTCTGGATCAACTGTGATACGAGTAGAGGTAGGAACTGTTGATGCAGATTCCAACTCTGTCACAACTGCGGTAGTAGTAGTGGGAAGCACAGAAGGCACTGCTGAAACTGGAACCCACTGCTTCTTTGGCTCCACAAACGTCACCTTGCCCTTATCCTTATCAGTCTTAGTAATAGGAGGCCGAACAAGGGGGTGCACAACAACTGTAGGAGGAGGAACTGTAGTACACTGATCATAAGAATGACCCAAGTGTTTACAAGAGAAGCAAAAAATTGGCCGCTTCTCATAGATAACTGTCTGCCAGAAGCCACGGTTACCAGCACGCTCAATCCAAACCCTGTCGGGCAACTTTTGCTCCAAATTCACCTCAATGCACACCCTTGCCTCACTAGGTCGTCTCAAGTCGGTGGTGGCCTCATCAATTCTCTAGGGCATTCCTATTGCCCCAGATAAGGCGAAAGGGAACCCCTTCGCACGTAAATGTACTGGAAGCAGAGGGAACGATACCCATACGGGAACTATCGGAGTCTCTTGCTTAGGTGTAAAGTCACATGTCCACTTAAGGACTCTCATCGGACAACCATCAATATACCATGAAGGTTTAAGAAAAAGCCTACTGTAATCCTCCTCACGTGTAAGGTGTATAAGAATGTGTGTTGTGTCAATCAGTCCCACCTCGAAACAACCATGGAACCCAAACTTAGAAAAAATCTCACGTACCTTCCTCATGATTGGCTTGCGATGTGGAAATTTCCCCACAAGTGTATACTTGTAAGGATCAGCGAGTGTAGCCTCCTCGGACTCAGTCAAAACTATTGCCGGCTCACCCATATGTATAAAGGGTTCTTTAGCAGGAAACCCAGCAGTGGAAGAGTCATCTATACCCTGTACAACCGATGCAAACGACTTCCGTGAACTCCGTTCAGCTTGAGACAGGCCCGGACGGCAAGAAACTGCAGTGGCATATGTCTTTCGGCCCTGATTGAGCACTGTCTGGGCCTCATGTGGAAAAACCGATGATGAAAATGGATTCAAATAAACTGGAAGAACATTCTGATCAAAAGTTGTCGGAGGGCCGCCGGGACGCCGCCGGCCGGCCGCTAGCGGCTCCGTTTTCCGGCCAAAATCAACCGGAGGCAGAAATTTATGATTTTCAACAATCTTGTGCGGAATTTCATGCTGAATAACGCGGTTAGGCACGTTTCCCGAGGTGAGAATCGTAGAGGCCGAAAATTGCAATTTTTTGACAAACTGCCCGTTTACGTTTGGTGTCGTAACAGGAGCGTCCAACCTCCGATTGCCGTGATTTTTTGACCAAAGGTTCACCATCTCATGGGCATTCTGAATATCTGGCGCGTGTATCTGTTGGACCATCGTACGAGAATTAATTTCAAAATCAGTTTCGGGCTGTACTTTTTCCAATGCTTCAATTCCGGCCAAATTGGACGTCGAGGACAACACCCTAGGGGTTTTTGGGCCTTCTGAGTTCATTGGTGATGGTCCCATGTCCCAATTCTGATCAGAAGTGGGTGTTTCGATGACCTTGGGATTCGTGCCATGATTTTTCAAACTTAGATCTATTGCGTTGGGGGATGAATCTGATATTGGTGTTATAGGATGTGTTTGGGTCGTTGTTGGTGATGATTTTCCACCACTTGGGGTGGTGCAATCCGGTGGTTTTGGTGGTGGATCGGGTTTATTTGAGTTTTGGTGGGTTTCTCCCATTCTAGAGAGAAGGGAGAGCGTTTTGGAGGTAGAGAGAGGTTTAGGGTTTAGGGTTTTGGGGTTTTGGGTTTAGGGTTTTGGGGTTTAGGGTTTAGGGTTTACGGTTTACGGGGTAGGGTTTAGGGTTTAGGGTTTAGGGTTTTTTTTTTTTTTAAGCAAATGCCACTATTGTGGTTTATTTTATATAATGAAAAGCGGGAAAACAGAGAGGAGGGGGGCATGGACCTGACCTCCAGCAAATGTAAATTGTAACAAATATTTGAAGATAAAATGCAATCACAATAAACAAGACACGAACAAAACCTAATGAAAGGTACTCATGGGTATTCCCGAGGGTAAATCTTCGGGTGGTAGTACATAGACATTGATCCGGTCATGCGTCTGGTTTGGAACATTTCTGGATCATAGTAGTCTGCGATGTCTGGCTCGCTCGTTGGAGAGGGGTCTCGCCTGCGTGTAGGAGCCTGCTTTGGTGATAAGTACTGTTCGGATGGTGGTGCACTGAATGTAGGGTGAAAAGCGGGTGCATCTGATCTCATTGTACTAGTCGTAGGTGTGTCTAATCTCATGGTGTTCTGTGCTACGACATCTGAATCGTGGGAGATTGACCTGCTTGCTGTAGGGACATCGTCTTCCGCATTTTGCATGCAGTTCCAAGGCCCATGCCATCCATGTCTCTCTGTTATAGTTCTTTCACCTTATTGTGTGTAGGAGCTGTGATAGAAGGACTAGGTGAAGGT